GCTGCCAATATCACGGTCGTGACTACGATGGCGATGGTGAGTATGACGATGACGATGGCAATGTTGAGGATGCCGACGACTGTAATACCGACGACCGCACTGGTGATGATGATAACGGTGATGGTCAGCTCGGCGATGATGATGTTGATGGCGACGACGCGAATCAAGACGATGACGCCGACGACGACGACGACGGATGGTGGAGAAGATGATGACGACGAGAAGAATGAACACCGTGACGGTGATGTCGTTCATGATAATCATGTCGACGACGATAAGGATAGCACTGGTGCTGATGCTGCTAGTGATAACCAAATTTGTCGGCGATCGTGGCCGCGATGATAGCTGCGAGGGCTGCGAGGGCGATGGCGAGGCGGCGATGACGACGATGGCGATTATTTTGCCTGGAAGCACGGAGCACCAGAGAACGAGGCCTCGGCAGGACGCCTCGTTGCCTGGACCAGGCAGTGACAATTTGAAGGGAAGTTGGGGGAAGGGGCGGAGGATCGCTCCCGCCGATAATCACAAGCTCGGCCTTGCACGTGGCAGCTAACCTAGCAGAGAGAGCGGCGGGCCCTCCACCCACAGCGTTCTTCGAAGTTTCGGAGGAAGAGACAAGGGATCAGGAAAATGAGGAAAGGTGACCCCCTGCTGTAAATCAGCGCTTTGCGTCGCAGAGCACGCGGATCTCTGCGCGCACTGCTCCTGGAGCGCCGCGCTCTGCTCCACCGCCCCTGCGAGCGCTCACGCTTCTTTCAGGCTGTCGCCCAGCAGCGCGCTCACGCGCTTGAACTCGTCCACGTTGAAGTCGCCCTCCGTGGCTTTCGCGACCAAGCTCTCCTGCAGCTTGCTCTTGGCACGGGCTTGCAACCCGAGCTTCTCCGCGATCTCATTGCACACTGCCTCGGCGTGCACTTGGGGCGGGCCCCGCACGGAGACGCCGCTGTTGCTCTTACCCTGGCTCCACACAGCCAGCCCAGCAGCCGCCAGGAAGCGGAACACCACGCGGAGCGCCGCTTCGACGGTGTCAGCGTTGCCCCTGAAGGAGCTCGCATTCTTGCTCAAGGTGTACGGATCTTGCGACGACTGCAGCACCGACAGCAACATCCTCTTCTTCAGTCCGGCATCTGTCTTGAACTCCTCCGCCTGCAGGGGCGGCTCCATGCGCAACTTCTTCAACGGCCGCGACCCCGATCCCTCAGTCTCATCGACCCCGGACGCAGCTTGGGTTAGTCCCGCCACTCCCTTCGCCTGTTCACCAGGCACCGCCGCCCCCGTTGCCTCTGGAGGCGTCGCCGGGACTACTTGGGATGCGGGGATGGGCTCAAGCGGTACATTATCGGCGTGGGGCGCTTCGATCGACTGCAAGCTCGCGAAGTCCACCGCCTTGCCCTCCAACAGGTCCTTCACGCCACGGCAGAGCCTACGGGTGCCAATCCTGCACGTCTTCTTGAATGCTATATGTTCTGTTTCGGTTGTGTTGGGCAACGTTGTCCAGCGTGTTCTATGTTGTTGATCGGTCTATGGACGCGTTGCATTGCGCTAGTCGCTCTTCAAAGATACTCGCACTGCGGTGATTCAAACAACAGGTTGCCATCTATGAGAACCTCATTGTCTGGATCAAACTAAAGGGCAGGATTGGCATTCGAAGCAGGGCCTGTCGGCAACAGAATGGTCACCCGCCACCGAGTCCTCGTCGGCTTCTGGCGCAATCTGCCGCAATTCCTCCATGGATACGTCCGGGTCCCAATCCAGCATCCTGTTGCACGCCTTGACGAAGCTCTCGCTGTCCCGCCTGTACGCTGCGAGGGTCGCGCGGCCTGGGCCCACTGCGAGGAAGCCCATCATGCTCAAGAGGATGAGGTCCACGTGTGCGGCGTGGATCTGGACCTCTGTCGTGCATGGATTCTGCGCGAAAGCCTTCATGTCCCAGTTCTGGGCGACCTTGCGCAGGGTCGTCATGGGGTTTACCCGCGCGCAAACGGCTGGGCTAACAATTTTCTCGATGGACGACAACTTGGCAGGAGGCATGGCTGCTTGCTTGGCTCGGTCCTGCATGAACGTTCGCGCCGTCTCCCTCGCATTGATCGTCATCCGAAAATTGCGCGAGAACCATTCCCCCACGGCTACAGCAACGTCCACAGAGGAGCGTTGAATCCGCCTCCCCCTTCGGGCACAGTGACGCGAGATGCCCTCGGTACCGCGCTCGTCACAGAGGGCCCTCGCAGGCCCGCCAAACTCTCCCGGTGCTTTCTTGCGCTTAATGCATTGTGCTCGCCCTGCCCTTGCAGCGCAGAGTTGCCAACGCGGCCAGGATACCTGCCACTAGCAAAAAGAACGCAACGCCCGGACATCCCCTGATAGATCCCAGGAGACCCCGCGCGTCCGAAGCGGCTGCCAGGCTCTCCAACAATCAATCATTAAATCACTCATTCCCCCTCCCCCCCCCCCCTTCCCCTTGCTCCACCCTTGTACCTCGGCGCGCCCTTCCCTCCACCTTCCATCCGTCCACCATGCCCTTCCTCCTCGCCCCTCTTACTTCCTCGTCCTCGTTAATGCCTTCCCCCCCCTTCTCATTGCCTCATTGACGCCTGCGCGGGCTGGCCCTGGGACCCAGAGGACAAAGGGTTCCGGAAATGCGGCGCTGGCCCCTGAATCTCCGGGGCGACGGCGACCCGGTCCACGGAGTCCACGAAGTCAAGAGGCACCTCGCCCTCCCCGAGGCAGTTCACGATCTCCTCGCCGGTCATCTCCCTGATCATGTCCGGCGTCTTGCCAGCCTTCTGCAGCAAGTAGTCGATGACCTTCTCGCCTATGTCCAAAGGCGGGATGAACTGGAGCGTCCTCGTCATGTCCTTCCGCGCAGTGGCATATCCACTGTCTTCGTCCGCGCCCTTCGACGCGCGCGCCTCCTCCCGCACGTAGTCCGCAGCCGAGTTGAATTGCTTGCGGAAGTGCTCCATCACGTCCTCAGCCCACGGCAGAAATTGCGTCCCACGCACCTTGGAGTACCTGTTCTTCTTGTTCTTCTCGTCCGGGCGCTCCTCTCCCCGTACGTACAGCGCCGAGGCCGTCAGCATAACCTTCCCGATAGCGGTCACTACATGGTCGTATTCCAAGTCGTTGAAGTAATCTGGATCGTCCTCCAGGAGGCGCGCCACCTGAGGTGCTGGTGCATCGGGTAGGATCTTGTTCACGACGGCGGTGAAGTGGCCGATCAGGAATCTCATCATGCCTGCTGTTGTGTCGGGCTTCTGTGCTTGCTCGTACACTTCCTCAATGTGCATCATGACCGCACCGCACAAGTGCGGGTTCCGCACCAAGAAACGGTTCTGCGTGTTCCCAGGGTGGTTCTTGTACAGATCATGATCGTGAATCTGGTTCAGATCATCGATGCCGCCGCCTGGCCCGTTGTCGAAGGTCTGCGGTAGCCACGTCTTCCCCTCGTGCAGCGCGAGAAACGCCGTTTCCCCTTGCGCCTGCATGAAGTTCCCGAGACCGATGAAGGTACCCTTGTTGAAGATCGTGTCTTTGGCGTGTTCTTTTGCTGGCTCTGGGTTATTGTCTGGGTCGTCCTTGTGCTTCTGGGCGGCATCCTCGTACTTCTTCTTGGAGCGCCTCTCCCGTATCATGTCGTAGAATCCTAACACCTGCACGTCCAGCCAGAGGGCGATTGATTTTCCGTCGCCAGGTTCGCCATGCTGTAGCATGAGCAAGTTGCAGTGTCGGGATAGTATGCCACCGTACCTGAGTTGAACTGCCCCAAGCGTTGTGGCTACCAGAATCATGAGGTGGACGTAGACACACGAAGCGTGCAGAGATGTCGCCTTGCCCAGCGCCGAGGCCACCTTCCACATGAGTGGCGTCGCCCGGCGCGCAGCTTCTTCGGGGAACGGGTTCTGGTTCTCCAGGATGCGGTACAAGGTCCGGATTTCTCCTTTCGTCATTGCTGGCAACTGTTGGCTTGCGTCTGCGCCGCGACCCGGGCGGCGACCTTTTGGAGCTGCTGCGACATGGTTCGCGGTGAGGGCGACGACGAACAACGCGATGAGCGCGATCCGCTGCATGGTAGCTGTTCCCGTTGAGACTGGGCGATATTTGGACTGAGGCGCAGTGCAGCGATCTCCCGGCGATCCGAGAGAGCCTGATGCTGATGTGGCTGTCGGGACCCCTGGCGGCGGCGATGCGAATGCATGGGTCGATGTTGGTAAGCGCTGATATCGGACCTGATGCGCGCACTCCTCGCGCAACTGATAATATCTGATGATGTTAGAGATGGTGATGATGCGGGCGCCAACGCTGACGGCACGAGCGCGAACGCGGTGGAAACTTGGCAACACAAGTAAGCACGTTCATGTGCAAGAACTGTTTGGGGGGCGAGTTTCCCTTGAGCACTGGAGATGCCACCACATTCTCGGAAGCTCCTGGCGCATCCGACTCCTCTTCCTCCAGACTTCCCTGCCGATTCGGCAAGCGAGACTGCCCTACGAGCACTTGTCAATAATGAGCGTCTCCATCTCAACGCACCATGGACGATGATGATTGCGATGCTGAGTGAACGGGCGCACGCGCAGTAACAGCGATGCCAATCCGGATGTTTTTTGTTGCTCTCGACGCACCTCCAACGCCGCAGTTCCAGTCCGGACCGCAACGCGCTCCAAAGGGGTCGAAGGTAAAACCAGCTGGCATGCACAAAATCTACGCAATGCAATATGCCACGCCGTGTCAGCGCGGGCCTAGACGCCTACTTACTAGCAGTCCCCGCACGTTGAGGTGCCCCACTCTCCCGGCGCTGCATGGGCCCCGCCTCGCAACGCCTGCGCTCGCATGCCGCTTCTCGCTCGAGCCATTGGTTGTGGGCGTCAAAAAGGATCCACCAGTGCATCTGGAAGTGCCCCCGCGTCATCTCGAGGCCACTCCGTGTCCTCCCGCTGATCCAAGAGTTCAACTGCTCACATGCCTCCGTGTTTTTCTTGTCCAACAACTTGGCATTATCTGGCCTCAGGGGGTCCACTTCTGGCATGTTGTTCAAACACCAAGTGTGGTTGTCCCGGTGGAACCTGTCCAACACCATCCGCACTTCCTCCACGAAAGACTTCGTCCATGGTAGGAACTGCGTTTCCTTCGCCCGGGCAAGTGACAGAAGCTTGCACGCATTGTCGTACCCCAGGGCCGCAATGACGAAGCCCAGCTCGCGGCCATCCTGCCCGATCGATGCCAGCGCCAGCGCGCTCTGCTCAGCCCGAGCCCCGCCCATTCCCGAAAAGAGATGCATCCATGCGTGCATGTCTTCATTCCTTCATCTCTCCCCCCTTTTTCCTCATCTCGCCCCTCCCCCCCCCGCCCCCCATCCCCTCCTTTCCCTCCTTCCCCTTCCCTCCATTTCCGCCTCTACATCCCCCTATTGCGCCCTTTCACTATCCCTCGACCCTTCGACCCCCCCCCCCTCCACGCTGGCCGAAGTGGGGGGGGCTCGTGACATGAGCAGAACCTCGGGCGTCGCCATCCGTCCTTGTGAAGCCGCAGCGCGAACGCATATAGCAGCTCGATGGACTCGCCCCGGAAGAGCTCCATCCAGTCCACCAGCATGCCGCACGATGTTACTGCTGTCACGATGCCTCCAGTGCAGCGTCTGACTTTGTTGCTCCCGTGGAGTTTGTCAACGCCGCACGCCTGGATAGCTTCCTCCTGCTTGCTGTCCAGAGCAAGCCATCCCTTGCAGCGGCTCCTCAATGAGTGGGCACTGCTTGCGCTGCTGCTCACATCGGCCGCCGCCGGCCGCTTCTTCGACTTGGCTGGAGCTGACCGCTTCGGTGCCGTGGCCAAGGCCCCGCTGGCACTCCCTCTTCCTGATCGGCGGGAAATGCCCGCGGCCTTGCCCTTGCCACTCCTGACCGCCTGGGCAGCCTTCCGGGCAGGCGCCCGAGAAGCAGAGCCACGCCGAGCCTTCTTTGCCCCGCCCCGGGCGCCTGCGCCATTGCTCGCCGCGACCGAGCTGGCCGGCTCACAAGCCGGCGCCTGTTTCCTCAGCCAGCGCGCAAATTGCCGGCTTCCCTTGATCCACGCCGGGCGCGACTTCTTGTTGCCGTGATCGCCCCGGCTCCGAAGCAGCGACTTCTCGAACTTCGCCAACAAGTCCTTCTCCACCTCGGCTCGCGGCAAGTGCACCTCGAAGGGGCGTTCTGGCAAATCGGGGTCGTAGCAGCTCACCACGTACCGCAGCGCGGAGTCGCCGTCAGCGGCCGGTCCTGGAGGAGCGACGCCCAAGATCTCCTTCTGGGGTAGCAAGTGCGCTTGCTCTATCTTGGACGGGCGGCAGAACTTGCAAAAGAATTGTTTCGTGGGGGCATTCCGTTGGCAGCCAGTGTACAACTCCAACTCCAGGCCCTCCATGGGTTCATAGCCCTCCAAGCCGCCGCAGATGAATCGGCGGGCGCCGTGCTTGCCATCAAGCAACACCACGAGCTTGTCAACGCATTTCGGGCACGTCCGCACGTGCTCCGCGATGCGCGCCAGGTGCGCCCTTCGCACGCATGCCGCAATATTCGTAAGGGCGCGCTCTATTCCGCTCTCCGTGAAAGACCACTCAATACTCTCAGCGTTGGCTCCTGCCAGACGAATTGCATTGTGCATGTACCAGGCGTCCTCCAGACGCACGCGCGTGTTGTCTGTCTGCGTCATGAAGTCGCCCAGGATGAGGTTTTGCTGCTCGCGCCCTGGGTGCTGCTTGGCCCACACGTGGATGGCAGATGTGAACGTGCCTCCGCTGTGTTGCAAATCATCAGTTATGAACTGCAACAGCTGCAGGTCCACCGCGTACCACGCTTTCTCCCGGGCCACCACGACGTACGGCAAGGCCGCCTTCGTGGACACGGCGGTGATGCCAGACATCTTGCCGAAGTTTGCGCGACCGCCGATGCCCGCATTCTTCTTGTACATCCAATTGCCGACGAAGTAGCACTTGCAGGATGGACAATACTCCTCACGGAATCTACAATACTGGACCCCTGCGCCGAGAGTGTAGATTCGGAAACGGAAGTCCTGCGAAGCAGAAGCCGCGCCCCGTTCTTCCCATTTGTTCCCAATGCGGCCTCTGCTTTTGTCTGGCTGGATCACCAGATCACTATTTTCGCATTTCGGGCATTGGCCGTGTGTTGACGAGAGAAGTACAGTCTCCGACTCGGGGCACAACTCCTGCATCTCCTTCAATGCTGGATGATTTAAGTCGTGCTCCCTGGTATTCCCAAATCCCACGTACGACTGCAGCTTCCACAATGCATTCTTGATTGCGTTATCTGCAGCCTCGACCTTCAGTTCTTTGCGTAGCAGCGCTCGCACAAAAGGCGGAGCCAATTCGTTTGGCATGCATGATTGCACGCGTGCCACGACCCTAAAGGCAGCTGCAGGTAACGGATGCATTAGTGTACTGAATGAGAAATCTTTCCCCGCCTCCCCAGCCATCTTCGCCAGTCCCCGCTCCGCGTTGGAAAGGGAGCGACAGCGCAGCGCGCGCGTGCGCGCGGGCGCAACCTTGACACGTAAAGTGGCTCCCTAGTGACAGGGGCGATGATCATGATGGCGGCGCGGGCAACGATGCTGGCCCTGGTGACGACGACAACGGCGACAGACGCGACAATGGAAATGACGATGGTTACAACGATGATGGTGTTGACGATGGTCACGAGAATGCTGAACCTCATTCTTATCATGATGATGGTAATGATGGTGATGATGGTGGTGGTGGTGCCGACGATGGCTTTCGCTCTGGTTCTGGATTTGGGTTCTGACTTCTTTGTGCCTCTGCAAACGGTATGGGTACAACTCTGGCTGTTGGTCGGGCTCTGCTTTTGCCTGTCGCCCCGGTTCTACCTGCGGCTCTGTTTCTGGATTTCGGTACGGACCCCTCGCTGGCACTGCTTCTGTCTCTTGTTCTGCTCATGGTATTGGTCCTGGTTCGGGTTCGCCGTTGGATCGCGGTACTGGTTCTGGTTCATTTTTCCTTTGGTTCTGGCTCTGCTTCTATCTCTGGTCCTGGCTTTGGAACTTGCTCTAGCTCTGGCTGTCGTGATCATTCTCTGCTTTTGGTTCTGGTTCCGGCTCTGGTTCTGGTTCTGGCTCTGGTTCTGGTTCTGGTTTTGGCTCTGGTTTTGGTTCTGGCTCTGGCTCTGGTTCTGGTTCTGATTTTGGCTCTGGCTCTGGTTCTGGTTCTGGTTCTGGTTCTGGCTCTGGCTCTGGTTCTCGCTCTGGCTCTGGTTCTGGTTCTGGTTCTGGCTCTGGTTCTGGTTCTGGTTCTGGCTCTGGTTCTGGTTTTGGCTCTGGCTCTGACTTTGGTTCTCGTTCTGGCTCTGGTTCTGGCTCAGGTTCTGGTTCCGGTTCTTGCTCTGGTTTTGGTTCTGGCATTGTCTCTGGTTCTGGTTCTGTTTCTGGCCCTGGCTCTGGTTCTGGTTCTCGTTCTGGCGCTTGTTCTGGCTCTGGCTCTGGTTCTGGTTCTGGTTCTGGCTCTGGTTTTGGTTCTGGCTCCGGTTCTGGTTCTAGTTCTGGCTCTGGCTTGGGCTCTGGTTCTGGTTCTGGTTGTGGCTCTGGTTCTGGTCCCGGCCCTGTCTCTGGCACTGGCTCTGGTTCTGGTTCTGGCTCTGGCTCTCGCCCTGGTTCTGTTCCTGCCTCTGGTTCTGGCTCTGGTTGGCTATAACAGTGGTCCTGGTTATGGTCCAAGGTCCTGCCTCTGGCTCTGCTTTTGTTGTATATATTCTCAGCTCTGGCTCAGGCTCTGGTTCTGGCTCTGGTTCTGGCTCTGGTTCTGCCTCTGGCTCTGGCTTTGGTTATAAGTTTGGCTCCGGCTCTGGTCCTGCCTCTGGCTCTGGTTCTGGTTCTGGCTCTGGCTCTGCTTCTGGCTCTGGCTCTGGTTCTGGTTCTGGCTCTGGCTCTGGCTCTGGTTCTGACTCTGGTTCTGGTTCTGGCTCTGGCTCTGGCTCTGGTTCTGGCTCTGGGTCTGGTTCTGGCCCTGCTTCTGGTCATGGCTCTGGCTCTGATTCTGGCTCTTGCTGTGGTTGTGCCTCTGGCTCTGGTTTGGGTTCTGACTGTGGCTCTGGATTTGATTTTGGTTCTGGCTCTGGTTTTGGTTCTGGCTCTGGCTGTGGTTCTGCTTCTGGTTCTAGTTTTGGCTCTGGCTTGGGCTCTGGCTCTGGCTCTGGTTCTGGTTGTGGTTCTGGTTCTGGCTCTGGCTCTCGTTCTGGCTCTTGCTATGGCTATGGTTCTGGTTGTGGTTCTGGTTCTGGTTCTCGCTCTGGTTCTGTTTCTGCCTCTGGTTCTGGCTCGGGTTCTGGCTTTAACGGTGGTTCTGGTTATGGTTCTTGTTATGGGTCAAGGTTCTGCTTCAGGCTCTGCTTTTTGTTAAATCTGTTTTGTCTCTGGCTCTGGCTGTGGCTCTTGTTCTGGCTATGGTTCCAGTTCTGGCTCTGGCTGTGTCAATGGTTATTCTGTGGATCTGGCTCTCGTCCTGGCTCTGGCTCTGGTTCCAGTTCCAGCTCTGGCTCTGGTTCTGGCTCTGGCTCTGGCTCTGGTTCTGGCTCTGGCTCTGGTTCTGGCCCTGCTTCTGGTCATGGCTCTGGTTCTGATTCTGGCTCTGGGTGTGGTTGTGCCTCTAGCTCTTGCTCTGGGTCTCGTTCCGGCCCTTGTTCTCGATCTGTTTTTGATTCCGATTCTGGCTCTGGCTCGGGTTCTGTCTCTTGCTCCGGCTCTGGCTCAAAAGCCCGAGGACGACGGAAACCTCCAGACCCTTGTCCTTCGGGGCCGTTTTCCTTCCGGAGGAGGCAGGGCGCCGTCCGCCGGCTGGCGCTCGCCAATTTGCGCGGCTGCTGGCCGCAGCGAAAAGTCCCGGAGATGACCCCCAGCGGCGGCGCGCACCCGCGACCGGCCTGGAAAAAATAACTGCTCAAAAACCTCGTGCACCAGCCATCCTCGCAGCCGCCCTGTCGCGGTGCTCGTCTCCCCCCTCATCCTCTGCGTTCTCTTCCTCCTCCTCTCCTCCTCCTCCTCCTCCTCCTCCTCCTCCTCGTCCTCCTCCTCCTCCCTCCCCCCCCATCTGCCTCCTCCCCCCTCTCCCCCACCTCCCCTTGCCACCCCCCGCCGACAGCCCGCGCTTCCGCGGCCTCTTTGGCTGCTTGCGGGGGTTCCTCAGACAGCGGCGCGGTTCAGCTTCTCGCGGAGCAGCTTATCGCGGCGATGGTTCCCGCGCGCTTCCCTGCGCTGCTGCGCCGCCTCCACGGCGGCGCAGCGGTCCTTCGCCTCCTGGACGCCCATGCCCAGGCGCCCCGCCAGGGCAGTGCCCTGCGCCAAGTGGCCGGCACGGAGCACCCGCACCGCCTTCATCACGAGGACATCTTTCTTCTTCTGGTCCGCGACATCCGCCGGCGCGGGCTTCGTCCACGCGGACTCCAACGTGTCGGCGTTATACCACACGAGGTGGCCGTTCGCCACCGTCGCCTTCTGCGACCACGCCGTCTCGTCCAGCCACGCCTCCAAGTCGGCTTCGAAAGCGACCTCCTGCTCCGTCTGCTGCAGAGCATCGCCTGACACGACGCGAAACGCGGGCGGCACGCGAGGGGGGCGCGCGCTCGGACCAATCCAAGGCGAACCAAGCATAAGTCTGAGCGCGCTACTCCCCCTGCTGACAGCCGCTCGTTTCGCGCCGTGCGGCCTGTCAAGTGCTCGTACGGATCCCGCTGGGGGCCCTGCTTCTCCGCGTCCTCCTGCTGGCCCTTGTTCTTCTCCGTCTCTTCCGCGTCCGGCTTGGGGTCGCAGGTCTTCTTCTCGCGTTCCTGCTCTGCGTCCGTTGCGTTGCTCTGCGGCTTCCGCTTGCTGTCGTCCTTTTGCTGGCGCTGCTCCTGCTCCCCATTCCTCTTCTGCCCCCGCTCCGTCAAGTTGTCCCGCGGCTTCTGGTCGCGGCTGCGCTCCTCCTTCTTCGACCCCTCGCCCGAGTGCTTCTGCCGCTTCCAGTCCGCGCCCTCTTCCCCCTCCCTGTCCTCCCTCCGCCGGGTTTTGTCGCTGCTCCAAGAGGTTCCCGCGTGCGTCTGCCAGTTCTCCTGCGGCTGCTCCGAGGCGCGCGACGCGCGCGACCACCCCTGCGTCGGACTGTGGGGCCCCGCGGGGAAAATGCACATTCCAGAAACACGCCAGGCACTGCGACGGATTCTTTACTTCGTTTACTGCCCGTCACGGGCGTGCTCACGGGGGGCCCACGACCGCGAACGCGAACGCGACCGCGACCGCGACCGCGACGACGACGACAACGACGACGACGACAACGACCACGACGACGACGACGCCGACGACGACGACGACGACGACGACGACGACGACGACGACCACGACGACGACGACGACGACGACGACGACGACGACGACGACGACGACGACGACGACGACGACGACTGCAACGCCAGAGACGACGACGACGACGACGACGCGGGCGGCCCCCGGAATATGCCGGAGGCTTCCGAAGACTCTGGCCGAGAGGGGGGCGATCACGAGCATGATGGCCCCGCTATGTCTCTTCTGCCTCCGCCCATCGCGGCCCCTGGCGCGCTCCAGAAAGTGCGATCAAGCACCTTCCTCCCCGGGACGCCCGCCCGCCGACACCTCGCCCCAGTTGGCCCTCGACCACGACGTGCTCGTCCACGACGCACTCGACCACCGCGCGCCCGACCACGAGGCCCAACCGCCGCCGCGCGGCCAGGTGTGGCCGTGCCACTCCTCACTCTTGTTTTTCCCCAGCTCGTCCTCCGGCGCCCGCTTCCCCGCGCCCCAGTTGTCCGGCGCGTTCCTGTCTTTGCCGACCCAGCTCCCGCCCTTGCTCTGCCGGCCCCCCTTGTTGTCCTGCGCGGGCCCCTTGG